ACCAGGGGGCGCCCGCGCCGCACTGCGCCTGCGCGCGCGGTTTCCGGAGCCGCTCGGCGTGCCGCGTCGGGGGCCTCGGGTTCGCGCGCGCCCCGCCTGGACGAGACGGCGGTAGGCCTTGCTCTGGGTCCTAGCCGCTCTTGACCCCCTTGGTGGCCGGCGGGGCGTCACAGACACCACAAATTCACTTTGTCCAAAACCAGACTCCTGGCAAGTCACCTCAGTGAATGACTTTTACTGTCCGCCGAACTGCCCAAGTGGAAAACGTGAATACCATCGTCGCTGTCCTCTCCCATGCAAAACCCCGAGTCCTGAGGACTCGCCGCCGGAAGAGCCAGCAGCTCACTTGCTTTGTCTGCCACCTCGCCCTCGTCCAGGCCCTGTGTTTGGCCCCATTATCCCCACAGCCTCCTGTTTCCACCCTTAGCTCTCTTTGATCCTTATCCACAGTGGTGCCCAGGGGATCAGCGTTGGGAAAGCAGGTGTGGTGTCACTCCCCTGGTTAGAATCTTTCAATGGCTTCCCGTTGCCCTTTAGAGAGACCAGTTTGTGTAGTGGTTAAGATCACAAGCCAAAGCCAGAACCACCTCGTTCAGAATCCTGCCTCTACCATTGATAAGCTGTACCATTTGGGGCAAGTAACATTTCGCTAGTCAAAATCCCTCATCTGTGGGGCGCCTGGGTGGCGCAGTCGGTTAAGCATCCGGCTTCAGCCAGGTCACGATCTCGCGGTCCGTGAGTTCGAGCCCCGCGTCGGGCTCTGGGCTGATGGCTCGGAGCCTGGAGCCTGTTTCCGACTCTGTGTCTCCCTCTCTCTCTGCCCCTCCCCCCGTTCATGCTCTGTCTCTCTCTGTCCCAAAAATAAATAAAAACGTTGAAAAAAAAATTAAAAAAAAAATCCCTCATCTGTAAAATGGAGGTAATAGTAGTACCTACCCAGTACCCTTGCCGGGAGAAGTAAATCCCTTCACGTAGGGGCTTGGCAAGTAACGATTATGCAAATACTCGTTTTTATCGTTAATCCCAGTATCGTTAACTTTGTTTTCCTTTGGCCCTTGCTTACTTCACCAGCCTCCACTCTCCCCATTTTTCAAGGTTCTGCAATTTCACTATCATGAATGGGGTTTTTGGGGGGTGGGGGTGGGGGGAGTCTTTGGGTTTCTACAGTCTGTGTGGATTGGTGTCTTCCACTAGTTCTGGGAAATTCTCAGCTCGTTTTCTTCAGATATTCCTCTGCCTCATTTTCCTCTTCTTCTGGAACTCGGATTAAACCTAATAATCCTTTATTTTTGTTAACCCACTGTGGTTTTCCCTATCTTGTTTTTCTGCTGCATTATGCATAATTTCTTTTGTGTGTTGATCTTGTAACCTGAAATCTTGCCAGACTCCCCTATTAATTCTAGGAGGGTTTTATTGTAGATTCCTTAGGATTTTTTACATAGACAATCATTTCATCAGCAAATAAGGGCTTTTATTTTTCCCTTCCCAATTTGTATGCCTTTTCTTTCTTTTTCTTGTCTTACTGTGCTAGGTAGGACTTCCAGTTGTAAGAGTGGTCATAGTGGACATCCTTGACTCATTCCCTATTTTAGGAGGAAAGTATTCAGTCTTTCACCATTAAGTATATTAGCTGTAGGATTTTTGTAGAAGCTCTTTATTAAATTGAGACAGTTCCCCCTCTACTCCTGGTTTACTGATAGTTTTATCACGAACGGGTATTGAATTTTGTCAAATGCTTTTTTCTACGTCCAATTGACATGATCATGATTTTTTTCCTCTAGCCTCTTGGGATAGTGGATTATATAGATTTATTTCTGTATGTTGAACCCGTCTTGCATACGTGGAATAAACCTCACTTGGCCATGTTGTATAGTTCTTTTTATGTATGCTGGATTCAATTTGCTAATAGAATATCCAGGATTTTTATGGCTAAATTTATTGGATAATAGTCTGTAGGGTTTTTTTTTTTTTCTCTGCCTCTCTCTCTTCCTTTTTGGTATCTCCTATCTGGCTTCAATAGCAAAGTAATACTGTCCTCATTAAATGAGTTAAGAAGGTATTGCCTGATATTCTAATTTCTGGCAGAGATGGTATAGAATGGTGCTAATTCTTCTTAAAATTTGGTAGATGTCTTCAGTGAAACCATCACCATCTAGGCCTGGATTTTTCTTTGGAAACTTTTTAAATTATAAATTCAGTTTCTTAAATAGTTATAGGACTATTCAGATGTTCTATTTCTGAAATTTTTTTTTTTAACGTTTATTTATTTTTGAGACAGAGAGAGACAGAGCATGAACGGGGGAGGGTCAGAGAGAGGGAGACACAGAATCTGAAACAGGCTCCAGGCTCTGAGCTGTCAGCACAGAGCCCGACGCGGGGCTTGAACTCACGGACCGCGAGATCATGACCTGAGCCGAAGTCGGCGGCTTAACCGACTGAGCCACCCAGGCGCCCCTCAGATGCTCTATTTCATATCAGGTGAATTTTGGTAATTTACAGTTTTTGAGATATTGGCCCATGTGATTTGTTAAATTTATATGCCTGGATAATTTCTATCTTCCAGTTCACTAATTCTCCCTGAAGCTTCTGTTAAAGCCATCCACTGATGGGTTTCCAGATTGTATTTCTCATTTCTAAAAGTTTTGGTTGGTCTTTCAAAAATTTTCCACTTCACTTTTTGCCATTTCTTATTCCCTGAATTTGCAAGTTACCATTTGTTTCTTTGAAAACAGTAACCATGAACATTTTATAGTATCTTGAATCAAGTGTCTAAAATCTTTTGAGAACCAGTTTGTTATTCCTGTTGGTTCTCACCTACAGTACCTTTCCTTTTATGCTTAAAAAAAATCATGATCCGCAGGAAAAGAGTGTGGAAAGAACGGGAGGGGAGATAAAGAAAAAAGTCCCTTCCTCCAAAAAGTAATTTCATTTCTTCTATCATACACCGGAAGGCATCAATAGTACAGGGTCATCTTAAACCAAGTTCAAGGCTTGAATTTTTCTGAGCTCTCAGGCTGCAAGTCCCTGGGAGGATTTGATTTCTCATCACCTCTTTTACTGTGACAAGGATAGCCCTTTGGCATGCCAGCTTTTGGGGGGAAACATCTTCTAAGAGTCTATCCATTGTATGTGGGCTCTGGATTTTGATTCTGTCCCATTCAACCTAGGGTAAGGTCTGATTTGCTGAAATCAAATGTGGTTTGCCTTTAGATCAAATGTGGTTTCCAGGCACCTGTGCTCCATTTTTCCCTGGACTCTTGTTTTTCTTCACTTTCGGCCTGAAAACATTTTTACTAATTTGTCCGTTCCTGGATGCTTTCAGAAATTTTTTTGCTTATATTTTATCCAGAGGTTTCGGCTTCTTGCAGCAGGAGAGTTAAAAAACAAACAAACAACTTAGTTCATCATGAACAGACACCAGAAATCTGTTTCCCCTATTGAACTTCGAATGCTTCCAAAACCTCATTAGTTTATCACCTCAGGCAGTTCTAAGTGCCAGTCTGTCTGCCTAGAAATATTCCTTTCTCTCCTCAACCCCACTGACCTCTTCTGGCTAACTGCTCTTACCTCCCTGACTCCCAGGGCTTTGTTAAATCCCATTCCACTATGCTTCCACAATCCCCAGTTTTCTCCTATCTAGTAGCCTGTAGCTGCTGGTTATGTTGCTCTGCAATGGCCAGACTTTATACATTTCACAACTATTCAAAAAGCAGTGTATCACAGTGGCTGAGAGTGTGGCACCTGGAACCAGATTGGGTTTGAATCCCAGTGCGACCTTAACCTCTTTGTGCTTCAGTTTTTGCATCTGCAAAATAGGATAACACAAGCCTGCACCACAGGGTTATAGGATGTCAGTGTATGTGTTAATGCTTATGAAAATGGTTAAAATTGTGCCTTGTACATAGAAAGTGCTCCTTATTGAAGTATCGGCTCATGGCACTTGTTAGGCACCTGATTATTGGATGTCTGTATATTTTTATGAATGAACATGATGATTTCCGAGCAGCTCTGACGTGGTGAGGTTAAGATTTTCCTGAGCCACTCTCTACCCCTGAAAGGCTCATCCACTGTGGTATCTTTGAACCCACTACGAATCAAGCAGCCTAATAAACCAGTTGTCTTTTCCAAATCCATCTACTAAGCACTGTTAGGGAGGCAGGAGGAACAGTCTAGAGAAAATGACCACTGAACCAGGACGGAGGTGATTTCTTATCCTAGCTCTACCCCTGCCTGCCTGGCTGTGGGACTTCAGGTAAACAGGTTCATTTTACAGGACTCCTTCTACATACTCCGCTCCAGTCCTGCTGTCCCCTGGACTGCTCAGTCTGAAACAATGCCACCTCTACTACTGGGTTCCAAATCAACCTGTGCCCTAAGGCACACCTCAAATGCCAAGTCTCGCACAAGGTACAGCCCACCTCCAAATGACTGCCGTTTCTAACTCACAATTGTAAACCAACTGTTAGCATAGTATGCTTATGCAATTGTTTGTTGGATTAACTCACTTCAACTTTGGAGTAAATGTGAGCAAATCAACGGTCTTTTTCAATTGTTTCCCATTTGACAAATGGAAACTTTACCCGAGACCAGATGAA